CAGCCACCCAGCCTAAACCACTCTGATTTTGTGAAGCAGCAAATTGAAGATTTCCCTGTGCGACTTCCTGTCTTTTGAAATTGAGTTTTCCTCTTCCCTGAGTTGCTCAACTACCCCGTGCTCCCCAGTCATTCAGATGTTCACACAGGTTTAATGGGCATACCAGTGTCGAAGTCCGTTTCTTTTTCATGGCAAAAATACTGCTGAAGTTTTCTCCAGAGAGAGGAAGAAGATGAGAAGAATAGCAGTATTCTGCCCTGCGCACATCAAAAAGTTTTTATTTTCATGGGAATAGCTTTTTAATCAGACAGGTAACGTGTCAGACTGCTGTGGGTGTTGGGGCTCCGGAGTGCAGGCAGGGGCCAGGCTCTTGGTGGCAGCCCAAACACTGCGCTATCCCCAAGAGATGGAAAAGGGATTGAGCTTTCTACCATGGAGTATGAGTCTCTACCAGTGAGCAGTGCTCATGTGCTCTTCTTGGTTTTGCCTTATCTGTTAGATCATTTTCGTCTCTTGGCGGGTGCAGTGAGGGTAAACTCTGTCTTACTGAGGAACGGAAGATGTAGGCAATGCCTTAGTCTATGAATGCTACAAGGCGCTGAAACTTCATAGAGGGCTTCCTGGTTCTTAGGGATCTTCCATGAGCACCCATGGCAGCAACTGGCTGGTTAGAAAGATGGGCTTTTGGCTTGAGCTGGTTTGCTGAGTCTTAACTTCCTAATCTCTCCGGTCACATTCCAAGGACTGCTATCAATTAAGAAGGAAAAGTTGGGGCATGGGGGAGGTAAATGAAGTTGTAGTAGTGACAGTTTAACTAAACACTGTCAAATGATGGAGTTAGGGCATGGAAGGGTTCTCGATGAAGAGGACTAGAGCATGAGCCATCCCTTCTGAGCCTCTTAGCTTAATTGACTAAATTGAACAAGTCACTTGCTGCTTTGTGGCTTACTTTATGGCGTTACATGACACATGCTAAATTTCTCTATGATTAATATGCTTGAAGATGCGTCCTATGCTGCAGTAAATAGGTGCCTGAGTAAACGCATATTTGTGTATGCATATACTCCGTAGTGCGTTTTTCCCCTCGTATTGTTCCACCACTAATGGAGGTGTCCTGTGTTTTTTGTTTTCCAGTGATTCACTGTAGATGTTCCAGGTGTTTTTCTTTCCCTTCAAAGCGAAGGGTAAGAAAACGGCCTCGAGTCCTGACGTTGTTAAGTCTGCCCGAGGATGTTCTGTTTCATGTTCTGAAGGGCCTTCCTGCTGAGGATATCCTCTCTGTCAGAGCTGTGAGTCTGCTACTGCTTCCCCTCTGTCATGCACCATGGCTTTTATCTGCCTTTAGGAGCCAGGACTGCACACAGAAAAGGCTGGCTTCTTGTGTCAGAGTAAACCTGAAGAAAACCAAAGAATACATGCAGTAATTAGATTTTTGCTATCCCATTAGCAGTTTTATTTCTCAGTACTCAAGCTTAAGAAGATTAGCAGCAGTATTTGAGTGCTCTATGTAAATTTTCTGTGGGTATTGTCCTGCTAGATCACCGTGGCTGAACAAATTAGTTTGGTTTGGCGCCTCTTGCCTTAATGGTGATTAGGTAGGTAATGAGTTAATCATAACTTGTGATTAATTAGTTGCCTATCTAAAATTAGATTGCAAAGAACTATTTTTCTGCTGGTCCCTTTATTTTAGTAATTATTATTTTACGCTCCTCCCTTGCAGGTGCACTCGCATCTTAAATACCTTGTGGACAATCATGCTAGTGTTTGGGCATGTGCAAGTTTCCAAGGAATATGGCCTTCTCCAAACAATCTGAAGATGTTTGAAAGGTAAGGTTCAAGAATCAAATTTGTCTGACATTGTAGAAGAGCATGTTTGAAGTTATTACACCAAAGTTATTTCTCTTTAAGGGCATTAATATTCCATATTGGAACATAGCACACTAACTAAAATCTGTTACTGGTGCTTTCATATGAATGTGCAAGTGAGATCAGAGGCTCAAGAGCATAACCATATTTCTAAGTCTGAGTTGGCTTGGTCACTTCTTGTACAAACCAGCATATTGAAAAATGGGTAAATTTCAGTATTAAAACAAGTGATGTTTGAAAGGCTAATGATAAACCTGCTTAAAAATGATGGAGAACATATTTTTATCCCTCTGATTTGAAGGGGATACATCAGTTTAAACGTCATGATAATTGGTTTACTTCTGCCTGTTGCTTCTTTGGTGCATGTATGATCTTCTTTCTGAAGAAGACTACTACGTGCACATCAGTTTGGAAGGGAGGAGCACGAGGGCTTGATGAAGTCCTTGAAGGTGCAAGTACCAAAACATGTTATTGCATTCTGGTGTTGGGGATGTTGCATGGGAATGGGAAACATTCCTATGAATTGTCAGATTATCCTGGACATTGGCATAGAAAAGTGTTACAGCAAGAAGACCCTCAGCATAACTTATGTTTAACTTCTGTAGTGAAAGCACATATGCTTATGGTTGGCGATCACCAAATGCACAGCCTGGCCTCCACTGAAGTAACTTGTTTGAGGACGTGGGCCTGGAAGCACCTACTGATTTCAACCTCAAGTATCTTCTCTGTTTCCCATTCAGGGCTGCTGAAAGGGGTAACTTTGAAGCTGCTGTGAAGCTGGGGATAGCGTACCTATACAATGAAGGCTGTAAGTGTGGAAGCTTGTACTCAGGTGTTTGGGGAAGATGACATGACAGAAGGACATGGTAGATGAGCTAAAGGCTTGTTTATAGATACAGATCAGACTAATTGTCTCATAATAAAGTTGGCACTTTTACTGGCTGCTTAAAAAGCTGTTTCTTCTGTATCTCAAACACTGATGCTTTTGTACCCAGGTTCTTGAGCAGTGAAGTGCAGAGCTAGCTTGCTGCCTTCAGCGAATGGTTAGGTCGCATTGACTATGGTGCCTCTTCGTTTTACCTTTCAGTGCAGCTTAAGCACTGGCCACTAAACTGCTAGGTGTTAAATGACAGTATAGTGCACAGCTCTTTTAGAAAAGAAGTCAATGCATAGCTTATGAATTCATGTTTAGAAGTTACCCTTTGTAAATTTCTGATCAAACTTGGCTACTTACCTGGTGTGATAAATGTAACAAAAAGGACTGACAATCCACAGGACAAGCCTCCTTGCAGAGGGTACTGGCAAGGCAGGTGACTTGTATACCAATCTGTTTGTACACTGACAGGAATTAACATTGCTTTGAATGTTGGTATTTGCAGAACGTGCCCCCTGCCCCGCAGCTTAGGGTTATATGTTCCTAGAGACTGACTGTAGTAAGATTTTTCTTCTTTTGCCATCTCCATGATTTTTAAGGCTCTAAAGGGAAGATGCTATTCAATCTTTTCCTGATTGTATCCTATTGTCTATCTTGGCCTGACTAAATGCCTAGCACGTGTTGTGAATAAACTCTAAATGATTTCTGGTGGGTTTTTTGTTCAGTGTCCATCTCCGACGAGGGTCGTGCAGAAGTGAATGGATTAAAGGCATCTCATTTCTTCAGTCTGGCGGAGCGTTTGAATGTGTGCGCAGCCCCATTTATCTGGCTTTTTATCCGTCCTCCCTGGTCCTTGAGTGGAAGCTGTTGTAAAGCTGTGGTCTATGAGAGTCTCAAAGCAGAGTGTCAGTTGGAGAAAGTAAGATTTCTTTCTGCCCTTTATTTTAACATAGGCTGGTTGCTGTATCTAGTTATTTTGGAAAAAATATTTTTGTTTCCCCAAGGAGCTCGTATGCTCTTGTTACTTAAATGACTGTGGATCAATCACTTTAATGAATTTATTGCCGAACTGCACTTGGTGTATCATGAGTGCTGGAGGCCTGTACTGTCTCTTCTGAGAGACTCAGTACTGTCTCAGAAATAACTTTTCTTGAGAAAAGAAAGGGGGAAGAATGATTGAAAGGCAAACTAAATTGTAGTCTGGAATTACTAGCAAAAGTTGCTATTGTTCTTTGTTTATCTTTATAAATGTTTTATCTTAATGCTTTCTTCAGGCTCAAAAAGGATCTATTCTCCACTGCTTGGCTAAGATCTTGAGTCTCTTTGAGGTAAGCAGTATTACTGATTTGATGTGTTTGGGTACTTTTTTTGGTGATGCTAGTGCTGTTTACCTTGGGTTTGTTTGGTTGGTTTTTTTTAAAAAATCAGCCAAATGCTCTCATATTCCTCAAGTGGCCTAGGGATTTCTGTTCTCATGAGTTTAATTTACTGGCTGTTTAAAGGGACATTATCAACTTAGTTTATTGAATTTTACAAACGATGAAATTAATTTTGGCTTGATCACGGGCTTGCAGTGTGTTCAGGTCTCAAAGGAAGCCTTCCAGTCATAATGCGTATCAAAAAAAAAAAAAAAACCTTCAGTGGCAAGCAAGCCAAAAAGCTTTTGTCTAGCTGAGGAAAACCACTAACAGCTTCCTGAGCCTGGATCTTCAAATGGCAGCACTGAGTGGATGTGGGAGTACCCCTCATAGTCTGAAGGGGACTCACAACTGATTGGTTCTGCTCTGTAGCTTTCATTACAGAGCTGTTCTGTAGCTTCTGAAGTATTGAGATCTGGCATCCAGTTGGCTGGACAGCAAAAATACTGTCATGCCTTTTCTTTGTAGGATGAAGAAAAAAGAAAGGAATCCCTTGAAATGTTTGAAGAATCTTCAAAGCAGGGTTGTTTAAACAGTTCCTACCTCCTTTGGGAAAGTAACAGAAAGGCTGCTGTAAGTAGTGTTTTTTTTGTCTCAAAACAACTTTTTCACTGTAATTTCTGGACCTCTGTTATGCACAATGAATGTACACAAAGAAACTGCTGTTCCTCAGAGCTTACTTCATAAACAAGGAGAGCGCTGAGAAATCTCTCAAATGAGCTTTGGTCTGCCTTGGTGTTTAAAGTAAGCAAGTCTACGAGCAGTGGTAGCTGAGGTGCAAGCAGAAGTTCCTTTATACTAATTTTGCTCGACATAGGCACTGTTGACTAGTGGTTATATGGCTCACTTGGGAACAGGAGGGGGGAGACTGCCTGCATTGCCATTAATAAATCTGCCAAAGCTCTCATGATGGAATCTCAAGTGACCTGTCTCATTTCCTGTGAGACCTTGAGCAAGAACTGAAGAAAGTTTCTTCAAAACAACATTGTCATCGTGATGAGAAACAGACTGGTTGCTGAAATAATATATGTACCCACAGGCGGTGTTTTTCTCTGGATATTAATACTACAATCCTTCTGTTCGTTGTGTAAATGTAATGGGTTTTGAAATCTGTTTACATTCCTCTCTGTAGATGTCAGATCCTGGCAGATACCTCCAAAGTCTCAGGAAGCTACGAGACTATGCAGCAAAGGGCTGCTGGGAAGCACAGGTAAGACTGACTTTTCCCAGGAAAACAGTCTTTATTTGGTCTCTTCTATGCTGCTGTTGTAGGTTTAGAGTCCTCCCTTTAGAAGCAGGGTCAAAATGGCTGAATGGTATCTATATGTGCATGTGTGTATTTATTCTGCAGGTCCCCCTCTTTTGGAAAATACTGCATGTCTGTGGTAGAATCTGAGTAAAGATGCATCTTTTGATGGACTTAAAAGCCTGTGTCCAAATAATGCGTGTTCAACATTTAAGCCACACTAAGAACTACTGATTCAAGTAGTTTGTCATGTTTGCTCTCTGTTTTCTGCAGGAAAATTACAGGACCGTCCTGTGCTGCCTTAGTTTGTATTTGATAAAAAAAAAATACTTTTTTTATGTGTTCTCTACTACAGATAGCTTTAGCCAAAGCTTGTGGGAATGGAAACCAACTAGGATTAGAAGCAAAATCTTCCAGTGAAATGGTGTCTCAAATCTTTCAAGCTTCCCTTCCTATCAGCAAGCAAAGTATCTTCACTGTGCAGAAAGGAATGAATGAAACAATGAGGTAAAAACTCAGATCCAGGAGTCAGGCCACGGAGCAGACACCATTGCCTGTTTCCTTCCACATCTGTAGAGGGAAACAAATCTAGAATGAGGTCTGTTGGAAGATGGAATTTTTTGCTTTACTCTTCTGTGATGCATTGTGTACAATCAGAGAAACACATGACATTTCACAGAGGAAGTATCAGAGCCTTTATTTCAAGCCCTGATGAAGAACTGAAATGAAGTGTGTGAGGTTTTTTTTCTGGACTTGTAAGTTCTTGCATTTGTCAAGACTAACAAGTTCTTCAAGAACTGGAGGCACTGTTTGACTTGTTAGAACTATAGTTACTCTCTAGTTATCTTAGGAGTCCTTTAGCCTCCTAATTGGTATGCCCTACCATTTTTTTGTGCAAGTGCCTATTACAGGATAGTTTCTAATTCCATTTCACAGACAACTTAAGACCATTGACTCTTCAGAGAATAACAGGCATCTGGTTGCAAATCCTTATCTCAGTGCAATATGTCATTTTTCTGAAAATTCTTTTGGTGAAATTTCTTGGCTTGGAACTTCTGAGTGGAGAAGGGACTCAGTAACTAGGCGTGGGGAGGATGTTCAGCATGGGTTTGAATGGCTTTTAACTGCACAGATTATGTCTTTCTTTTCTAGGTACATCTTGGTTGATTGGCTGGTAGAAGTGGCTACCATGAAAGACTTTTCTAGCCTATGCCTTCACATGACAGTGGGGTGCGTGGATCGTTATTTGAAGCTGAGACCTGTACCTCGAGCTCGACTCCAGCTTTTGGGAATAGCCTGCATGGTCATTTGCACACGGTAGGGGTTCTGAATGGTGAACAGAGGTGGTTATTGTGATCATTCAAAGTCATTTCTGCAGCTCAAGCTTCCACCCTGCCCCTTGCTAATAATAATACTAGAAAGAATCTTTGGCTTCCCTCTACATTGACTGTTGCTTGAACTGTGTTTGCATACAGACACAACCTCTGCAAATGAGATACAAAATGTGTTTTTAAATATGAAAAAATTCCATAGTGGTGGATTGGTCTAAATGCATTCCATCAGCAACTGAAGTCTCATGCCATGTTAGCACAAGTAACCCTGTAAGGAACAACTGCAGTGGTGTTGCTACATAGTTTAGTGTATTATGCTCAGATGAACTGCATGGTATGGTGGAAAGTTATTCTTCTGTGTTAGTTTCCTTAATATCTTGCATCTTAACCTAGGAGAGGTTTCATAAATGAGAAATTAAGAACATTCTAGTAGGTGGTTCCAGCTTAAAGGTGAAATAAATGAAGAGCTGCTGTTCGTTCTTTCCTGGTCTGTACCTGGGAAAGTACCTTATAAAGTTGTTTAACTCTTTGGTCATCTTGGGTGCATTTATCAGCCACAAAAACATTACTGCACAGGTGCACAAATTCCCTTACTTCTGGGGCTAACTGTTAATATTATTTAATATTTTAGTTTCATCAGCAAAGAGATCTTGACAATACGGGAAGCTGTGTGGCTAACAGACAACACATACAAGTATGAAGACTTGGTCAGAATGATGGGTGAGATCATTTCTGCCCTAGAAGGAAAGATAAGGGTGAGTTTGGAAGTTGGATGGAATATTTCACCCTTTGGGCTGCTATTGAGGTCAGGCTGTTGTAATTAGCACTTATCCTTATCTAAGATGTTGGGGTTTTATGTGAGTGTTCTCAATCACCTCTGGCGAGCATGCAGATACAAAACCCTCTGCCTTTCTGTAGAGATTAAAATCTAAGTTTTAAGAGGCCATTTATTCTTTCACTTGAGAATGTTTCAATGTCAGTATAGTAGTTAAACAAAACCCAAACCCTAATGTAATGAAAACAGCATCTCCTGGAAACAACTGTTCTAAATACTTGGTGCTCATCTTGTATTTCCAACCTCTGTTCTCCTTTCTGCACTAGATACCTACCATTGTGGACTACAAAGAAGTATTGTCAAACATAGTCTCACTGGAGAGAAGAACTCTTCACCTTTACAGCTTCATTTGTGAACTGTCACTCTTAAACACAAGTCTTTGTGTGTATTCCCCAGCTCGGCTGGCTGCTGCAGCACTGCTGCTGGCTAAGATACTACACAGGCAAGGTAAGGGACCTTAATTTTTAATTGGAGCTACAGCATGGTATCTCAGTCTGCCTTGTCTTTTTAGGCAGCCTTTGGGGTATTTCTGGTGTTGCTTTGTCTTTAGGCAAGATGTCTGAATCACTTGGGCTGGGGGAGAGGGGCAGGGGGAAGAAGGGGAAAGGTATAAGACTTCAGAATTGAAGAGTTGAGCTCAGTCTATTTTACCCCATAATAGCTATGATGAACAAGAATATTAGCATCAGACTATGCAACCTTTGTGTTTAAACGAGACTGAAGATTTCTATACTTAGGTGTAACTTCAGTTTGGCAGGTAAACCTATCCTTGAAGCTAACTGTGAATTTGTTACAACTGTGTACAGGCATAAGCTTGTAAAGATCATGATCTTTATCCCATTAAGAAAAAAAAAAGTGCGTCTGATTACAGAACTACCAAGCTTTGTGAAATGGTAATCTGTATTCTCTTTTCCAGCACACCCCTGGACCAGCCAGCTGTCTGAGTGCACTGGTTTCTCTCTTGAAGACTTGTTGCCCTGTGTGCTAAGCCTCCACCAAAAGTGGTAATAGTTTTGGAACCCTTTTGGGAGGGCACCTGAGTACTTGAATCCCAGCTCTTGCAGGCATACTGCACCTATACAGTCAGCCCTTCCCAGTGAAGGAGGTGGCTTTGGGAAAGTGCCTTGCTCCCCACAGCACAAGGCACTAAGGCCTAGGGGCCAGTTCAGGGACAGCTATTGTATTTCTCCAAACTGGTAGTGGCCCTGGGTTACAGAAAGTGTGATGTTCCTCAAGGCTTGACAGGTTTCAGCTTGCCAAACAGCACTATTTTCATAAGACTGCAACTGGCTTAGTGGTGTGCTTCAGGAGGAGTTCCAGTAGCTAAAGTAGCTCATTTTTTTAAAGAGTACAAGGCAAATATCTTGTTTACCTCAAGGAACAGAAAAGGAATTAGATGCTCATATGTGTAGAAACGAAGTGTCCTGGCTAGCTGCTTAGCAGCTCTGCTGAAACACCAACTTCTTTAGCACAGAGCTGAGAGGGACAGAGGGAAAGTACTTAATTGGCAGGTTTTGTTAACCTTGTTTCATATAATCCATTCTAAGACTGGGGCTTTGATCTTTCTTTCCAGTTTTCATGATGATGTCCCAAAGGATTATAGGCAGGTGTCCTTAACTGCAGTGAAACAACGATTTGAAGATGAGCGTTATGAAGAAATAGGCAAAGAAAAGGTGGGTGAGCTCTTTGTCTTCATTTGCTGATGTCTGACACCCAGAGCAAAGCTACCATATGGCAGGATGTAGTAAACTTCAAATAATGGGAAGTGGGTTCTAACTTTAGACTTTTGGAGGAGAGAATATCTAAATAAAGTGGTAGTTTTAAGCTTGATCTGTGGGGACTATAACTGCTTTGTTTGAATACATGTGGGAAGAACTCACTGGGATAGATTTCTCCTAGAAAATAAATAGCCTCTTTCTGGGAATCTCATGGTCTAATTCTTACTGGTTCTTTGATTTTTTTTATTTTTTTTTTTTAGATGATGGGTTACAGCCAGCTCTGTTCATTGTTGGGTATGAAACAAGAGGACCCAGAGCCCAGTCCTTTGCACACGAATGTGGTGGAGATTCAGACTTTCCTTAGCTCTCCCTCTGGAAAGAGAACTAAAAGGCTAGTATAACTCATCACTGTAAATGTCTCTGAAGGTTAGCATGAGCTTTTCTTCTTTGGTATCCTGAGGTTTCATTCTTAAATGTGGTCAATTTTTCTACAATTACCTTGACATACCTATTAAAAGAGCTGGAAAAGAAGACCTGGCTTTTCATGTGTGACTTCTGGATTTTCCTGCTACAGGAGGAGGGAAGACAGTATTCAGGATGACAGGGGCAGCTTTGTGACTACACCCACAGCAGAGCTATCCACCCAGGAAGAAAGTCTTCTAGATAACTTCCTAGACTGGAGTTTAGATTCCTGCTCTGGTTATGAAGGTGATCAGGAAAGTGAAGGCGAGAGAGATGGAGATGGTGAGGCTTTTTATTCTCCTTATAAAAAGCAGACAAGAGAATTAAATCTGTCTTTTCATCTTTGCTTAAAACTGTTTCTCAGGCAACAGAAGCCTGAACTTTCAGCTGGAGACCAGTTGGAAAAACTCTTCCCCTTCCCCAGTGGTTATAATTGTTAAACTATTTTAGAGGTATATACCTGTTCTCTTTCTTTATACTGCTTCAGAACATGATGAAGGGTTTTGTAGCTGCTTAGTATTTCAAAGTGAGACTGTTTTCAGATACTGCTGATAGTGGACCAAAGATGAGTAATGGCCCACTGTGTTAGAAACACTGTATTACCTGTTCTGCTGACTCTGGGACTGGCTGTTCAATGGTCTGAGGGGGGGGAAAGTTACTGTTTTAAATGAGGGTGAACTTAGTGCTCTACCCTCTCCTCTGTGTCTAAGTAGACATAAGGTTTACACCCTTGCTTGTTTGTTGTTTTTTCTTTTTTGCTTGATTCTGTGATGAGTGCCTGCTTGGTGCTGACCAAATCCACACTAACCTTTTTCTTTTATCCTGCAGTGACAGGTCCCAGTGGGATCTTGGATGTGACGGTGGTCTATATGGATCCTGCGGAGCACTGCTGTCAGGACTCCAGTGATGAAGACACCCTAGCTGTAGAGTGGTCTGGGCACATGGCACCACTGAGGGAGGCTAAGCTGCTGGATGACACTCGCAGCCTTTCAGCATATCTCACCCCAAGAAATCCTAACATGGAAGGGAGCTCAGGCTACTCTTCTGTCAACAGTGCCAGTCCTACATCTTCTACAGAAGGCAGCCTCAGAGTACCTCTTAAATCTACCTCAGCACTGCCTCTTGGCAGTGCAATGAACAAGAAGCCATGCCTGCCTCACTACCTGGAATCATGTTTACAGTCAGTCTGTGCTAGGCCTAGTGATGGCAAGTGTGACAGAAGGCAAGTCAAGCGAAAAAATGTGGCAGAACACAGTGAAGAAAGGTTGAACTTGGGCTTCTTAAGCCTCTGATTTCTTCATGCTCTCTCCTTTTCTAGGATTCCTGGAAACAGTATTTCTGTTGTAGTCATACAGGGATGATAGTGAATAATTGTCAATACCTCCAAAAAGAGCCCTTCCCCTCAACTTCGCCTATACCTATCTTCTAATTCTGTAGCTCACTTCTGGGCCACTTCCTTCCTTGATAGCTGCCTTTTTAAAGTATTCCCTATTGTCTGATCCTCTGCAAACTTAAGATTCTTCTCCACAAAGGAAATTTTATAGCTCATTTTTGTCATACCTCACCAGTTACTGCTTGGTGATAGGAAAGAACTTGTCATGTCCCCTGCTTCGCTGTGAGGCCTGGCACTATAAAAGAAAGGAATTGACTTTGGTTCTCAAGTTACGGGATGTAACACTATGCTTGAATTCTTCCACTTGAAAGACCTTTTTGAGGTTGTGCTGCCTTTTCCTTCTGGCCAGGTACTGTCTCACTCAGCTGGTGCTTCCTTCTATGTATATACCATTTGCTGCACTGATACGAGGTTTTTATGAATACAGTCAAGAGGTAAACAAAGGCTCACTGCAAGTTTGAGCATCTTTTTTACCTACCTCTCAGATGGTTTTTAACCATGTTTGCCTCTGGCTCTAGTTGCCATGTTCTCGCCTGAAAAAATCTTCCTTCTGTGCCTTAATGCTTCACTGCCCAGTACTACAGTAATGTGATCTCTGTGAACTGTTAGTCTCTGCTGGAACAGCGTGGGTGAACTGCCACCTGCAGCCAGTGGCTCAGTTTCATTTCCTGTCTCGCAGAGTCTTCCTTGCTATTTCCATTAATGTGTCCTCAAGGGAAGCACACATCACTTGAACACTAGAAACAGGCAGTAAGGGCAGACAGTTTGTCTTACTGAAAGCCCTCATTTAAGCCTTGCTACTAGCTCCTAATCTGCAAGGGCAGCGTATGCTTTTCTTATAAAAAATGAAATCTGTGCTGCTTCAGTAACAATTTGAAGAAGCCACCTACACTGACCTCAGCCTAGCAAGCCTGGGTTAAAGCTCCTTCAGCCTGTGAACATTAGGAAAACAGCCTTCTCTTTACAAACAGGTAGTGAGCATTGAAATACCAAGGTACAAGACTTCCACGAGACGTCACTGAATTTAACACTGGAACTGGACTCCATGACTCTTCCTTTGTTTAGAAGTTACTGTGGCAGATGGCAACAGTTCAGATACACACAGTGTAGTGACTTTTTTATAAAAAACTTTTTTTTAATATAGATGGCTTCTTGTCTTACTTCAGTGACTGGTGTTTCACTGACCTGGGGCTTGGAGAACTGATGGGATGTTTGGGGATAAAGTCAGAGGTTAGCTCTGAGCTAAATTCTTAGGATTAAGTTGCAGCTGGGACTGCCTGTAGGCTATTTACTTCAATAATATGAGCAGCTGGGAGAACACCCTGCACAACAAGTAGCATGGGGCTCAATCCACCATCACAACTCTACAGCAGCCCCAGAAAGCCTACAGAAAAGGCCTTGAGCATGCCAAATAACAAATAGAGAGCAGCCTTGGGTGCTTGTCCACAAAGTTTATTACAAAACTAGGTACTGCCACTGTAGTTAAAAAAACAAGTCCCTGATTTACTTCTGTGCCAGGCTTCACCCTTCTCCTGGTGGCTACATTGCAGTTCTCCAGCTACTGCTTACAATGACTTGCCATGCAGGAATGTCTTCACATCATTAACTTGTTGCAGCAGCAGCTCAAAATTCAGCATTGGGTCACATTAAAATTGGAAGAAAACACTTGTTAAAAAAACTCTCAGTTCTAAAACAGGTACATAAAAGTTAAATATCAGCAGGAAAGGCCTCACACTGCAGAAAGCTTTGAACTCTTCCTGTGCAAGTTTTCTTGTTCTGAAAGACACTAGACAGGAACATTAATCAGTTCAATTACTTCCCAGGAAGAGTAAATTAGGTGATGAGGAGCTAGCTCCATGTTCCTGGGGCTTGCTGCTTAATCCAGTGGCCTTGGCTGATGCAGGCCTGGCCTAAAACCAGATCTGTCTCAAGCCTCAATCTTGGAAGTGCCTCATGGATAAAACAGAGTACCTGGGTCTGGAGAGCCACAGGCCTGAGGCAATAAAACCAGAACTACAAACTGCTTTCTAAAAAGGAAAAGCAAAAGATACAGCCCAGAGGGTTGGTTCTTTAAAAAAAAAAAAAAATTAGAAAGGACAAGATTGTATCAGTCTGCATTATGTTAACACCTCCACATCCCTGCAGACCATTCAGCCTTTGCTTTATTAACCCCTGTTATATTCCTCCAAGGACAAGTATTTCCAGAAGGTTGTGGAAACACACACTGTAACACAGGCTAAGCCCAGCTTTGTGTAGCACTGGACTGGTCTCTTAATCAGGAATGCTGGAGGGGCAGTGCTCCCTTCACAGATCAGGAGGAGCCCCTAGGTCTCACCTGGGGAGGTTTCACAGACCAACCTGCTCTGTCCTCACCTCCTGACTGCTGCCTCCAGCACTCCAGGGCAGATGGAGCAGGTCAGCAGCACTGTGCTGCTCCTGTGCTCACAGCAGTAGAGGGGGACAAGTACTTTGTGCTGCTCCAATCTAAACTACTGGCACTTACTTAGGGCACCATTTTGATATCCAGAGAGTCATAAGCTGAAGCTTTCATCTTTTCCAGTGGCTTCTTGAAGAGCTGCCGCAGGGCCTCATAGTCAGGCTTCTCCTCATACTCTAGTGCCATTACTTGCTGCAGGTAGCTCTGCAGGGCATCTGCAAAGCAAGGTACATCACTGCATGGAGCAGCACAGCACTCCAATTCTCTTTACAAAGCTGCTAAATGGCCTTCTCAGACTGCTCTCCCTGTAGACACTTCACCCACCTACCTTGGCCAGCTGCAGAGAGGGAAAACAAAACCACAGACTAATATGAAGCTCAAAGACAGGATGGGGAAATGACCTCTAGCCCCAAATACTGCATTTTTAAAGACACCAGAACACTTGCCTCTTCAGCAAGGCTCATGAATACAGATAATGGGTAGCAGCCCTCCTTGTTTTGCTGTAAAGACAAGGGATTTGTTCACAGGAGGAGCCTGTCAACCAGTCCATGCAATGCTTGGTCACCATCACCAGTGGAAGCCATCCTGGACTAGCATCCCAGCACAGAGAAGGTTCTAGCTTCAGGTACAGTCAATCCTCCTTCCCCAGTCCCACTGTCACAGAGAGCAAGCCCATACCTGGAATGGGTCTCTTCTGCCTGAAGCACAGTCGGAGAAGGCATTTCACATCCCCTTTGTACCTGGAATAATCAGTGCAGAGTGCTGTCAGATGAGAAGAAATGGAGCAGGCACCTGAACAGGCTGTCTTTGGCAATAGGGACAAAAAATAAAAAAGGCTGAATTCAGATGGCCATGTTCTGAATGGAGCAGAAACCAGGGTTTGTCAAACACCCTTTGGCCAGGCTCAGCCTTTACAGCAGGATTTACCCGCATCCCAGTAGTGTACTATGACTGAGTGATTTCAGTCTCAAAACCTCCCTCACTGCTTTCTGCTGAGCATTTCCCAAGAGAGTAGATGATTTCTCCTACTTTTCCTTCTTCTCCACCACAGTTTCTACTTTGTCCAGCTCCTCAGACCAAGGCAAGAAGCCAGAGAGCCATTTCAGAAGACAGTAGCCCAGAGATTCCAAGTCACTCCGGCGAGATGGTCCTGATGGGAAGGAAGAGATATTCACGTGTGAAAAAAACAGTTTGCTAGCCATTCCGGAAGAGGCCTGGGCTAGCACCTCTCCTCCAGAGAGTAAAGACTCCAGCACTCACTGCGCAACCTTGGAAGTCTCTATTTGAGGTACCCCTTCTGTAAAATGGGCAGCCTCATCAAGGGGCACAAGTCTAAAGAGCAGAAGTAAAGAAATGCAAGAGCTTCAGTAAGATGGGCTCTGAGATATCAATACTTCTGCGAGCCCGCTAACTCACACTGTTGAGGAATCACCTGCCAGCCTCTGGGGGAATATTTGCCCAGTCTGAACACTAGGAGAGAACAGTCACATCCCAACCAGGAGAGGAATTGGCTAATTTAAATGGCTTTCCAGCTCTCACTGTTTCAAGGTCAGAGCAGAGCCTGCTGCAAATCTGTTTTGGGCAGGGATCCAGTCTGGCTTGAAACAGATCCCTGCTAAGCCAGCATGAAGCAGCCCTGTTTTCTATTCCTTGCGCACCTGCAGTAGCCAAGGCTCCAGATGGAGGAGCAACATCCCTGCACCTCTTGCTCCAGTTGGAGTGATGTGGCAAATCTCAACACAGCAGCCCAGAGGCAAGAGAAATCAGCCCAAATAAGAACTTCATTCCAGGTGCATGTGAATGCCTGGAAAGCAGCAATAACAGAAATGCCAGCAGGGAGCCCTAGCTTCAGAGAGCACTGCCACAGTAACAGCTCTAGCTGAGCTTTGCTGGCTTGCGTTATAAACTGAGACTCACCTGCTCCCTTGTGGCTGTCCAGACTGATAAACTCTATCGTGCCTTCATGAGGGGTCCTGCTGCCTTCGCGCCAAGCCACGTGCTTCCCTCCTGGGCAGTAACGGAACGCATAGCAATAGCCTGCTAGGGTCACCTAGAAGACATCAGGAAGTACACATCTGAGCATGTGTGTGGTGTGAATTCCACTTACAGTGTAGCCCACAATCCTGCGCCACAGCACCTGCTTGAGCACTGCACAGAGTGCACTGCTCCCCTGCCCAGCCACAGGAACCTGGGTGTTGCTCTATCCCATTTCACAAGCCCACCTTCACTGCCATTTCCTTGCAACTCTGCTCCTGCTCCTTACCTGTGTGAGGTCTGCTGGGTTCAAATAGATGTTCTCAGCTGTGATGTTCCCATGAACGTACTCATTTTCATGAATGTACTCCAGGCAGTCTAGCTAGGAGTAAACAGAAGAGGCGTAAGCATATCAGAACCACGCAGACTCCTTCAGCACCCTGGCTATCACTGAGTTGGACCCTCCCCAGCTCCCCAAAGCTGTGTGGAGGAGCACAAAAACCACTATGTCTCACAGCCTCTAATTTTCAGGTGTCAGGTTTCTCTCATTCTCCTTACCCCAAATTCCTTCAAGGTGACATATTGCTCAAAAGATGCTACTCAAGTTTACAACAGGCTTGAGAGATGCTACTTAGAGATCCCAGCCAACCCCCTGGATCAGCTTTAAAACGCCTTTGAAAGATCCAGAAGAAAGTTTTAGGTCTTTTCTGAAAAAGTGTCTTAGAAAGTATTGGTTCTCTACATACCAGCCGGACTACAATCTGAAAAGCTGCTTTCTCCCTCAGTAGGTGTAAGCCATCATTCAGGACGGACTGAAGAGTTCGCCCTAAGTCAGAGAACACCAAAAACCTACAAGAGACAAGAGCTTAGCACGTAGCAGTACCTACCTGATTTGGAAACCCTGCAACAGACACTCGTCAAGCAATCCACCTGGATTAGACCCTCCTTCAGGTTGACCTGGGCAAACATTTCCCCAACTTTTGGTAACAGAACACTTCTTGAAAAGGAAAGACATATTGATCATGTGTTGCAGATATAGTCTCCCCTTTGTGTAATCAAGCTTAGAAGGCAGGAATAACGTGTCCCCTGGCCTGAAGGGCAGAAGCAGCAAAAGCAATGACTTCACCAGCAACATAATGACTGAAGGAAGCAGGAAAATGAGAGAGGCAAACCATTTGTTAATAAATTAGATAGGAGCAGTACATAAAGGTTAGGAGTCCAGGGGACAATGAGAAAAGGAATAGCAGACAGCAAGGAGAGAAGAGGGAAAGCCCAAGAAGATGGCAGTTGTGGACAAAAGAGCTCAGCTGTGCCCCTCGCAGTCACCTCACCTGTAGCTATCTGCATGCAGTCCAAAGCCAACGCAATTGGGGATTCCCAGCAATGGCACAAAGTGCCACTTCTTCCACTTCTCCACTAGAAGGGGAGAGAAGAGGACAGAGTGCAGCAGATGCTGCTAAGGAGCTCCAGAAAAAAGGCACTCAGTCAGGGATGCCCTTTCTCCAAAGGCCTACTCTGCCCTGGGCAGCTGACAGCAGGAAGCCTCTCTTGTACTGATTCTGTCCCAGAAATGCCAGCCTAATGTGCTGGGGTATTGGCATGTCAATGCACATAGCACTGCAGAGCAAGAATAAGACGGAAAGGATGCTGGGAATACCAGAGCAGGCTAAGGCATGTGGTTGCTATAGGGCTAGGTAAAACAAGAAGGGGGAAGAGAGAGAGGGATGGAGAAGCAGATTTTTACAGTCCTCCCAGAAGTGCAGGTTTGACATGAATTCCTCCATCACCCCTGCCCACATTCTCTGGTCAGCTTTGCTCTTGCTCAGGTTTTTGGGTCAATGGAGTAAATACCAGACAGCAACTGACAGAAATGCCCATGGAAGGGGCACAGAACAGAGAGGGAGCCAAGGCAGGTCAGGCTGCAGGGCTGAACAGCTACCAGTGAGATCAAGACAAAGCACAGGTAGACCAAGAAAGCTTAAAAATGCCAACACTGTGGTGTCCTCTGTACACAGAGACTCCTGGGAGAGCAGGCTCTTGGCCAAACTTCCCAGCACTCTGCCACTAACCAAGCAGTGAAGTAGTTTATTCTAGCCTGGCCTTCCCAGAGACTCACATAACTGAGGAGAGAGGGATGCCAGTTTTCCTAACAAGCAGCCTAGTCCTTACCCCTCCAAGAAGCACCAACCTGTGCCTGCCTTCGCAGCTCGCTGGAAGAAATTCTGTTCATTGTAGATCCTGCCATCTTTGACATCCTAAAGGGAACAGGAAGGAGGAGCATTACTTCAGCCACACACACCCTGCTAGAAAGGGAAACTTGGGCAAGATTGCTACAAGACCTTCACTACTCATTTTAAATAAAGCAACAACCCCCCCAAAAAATCAAATACCAGATCAGCGACAGAGCTGAGAACAGAGCTGAGGTCTTTTAGTTCACTATTTAATGCTGTGCCTAACAACCACATAAACTCTGAGCATCAGCACAGAACAAAGGAGTGGATGTCTCACATTGGACATTTCAAGCACTACCACTTCTGTCTGTGGGTTAAAAGCATCTAGATAATGTAGATCATCTGGCAATGTAGAGTGAGCTCTAGTCCCAAAGCTGTTATGTTAAAAGGAGCCAGAGGTGACCTTCTTATCCACAGCACAGATGAGGTTATTTCTGCAAACAGGCAAGTCCCAACAAAGAACTGTAACATTTTATTCTAGCTGTCAGAAAGTGAGACAAGTAAGAAGGTCTGTATTTGTGACATCCAAGTGTTTGGGTAATGTGTGGAAATCTTATGAGCATATTTTTAAACCAGTAAGTGCCCTTTTACTACTGCTGTTATCAAGTCACCTGAAATACATATAGTTTACAGTCAATATGTATGTGTTTGCCTACACACATGTATATACATACTCAGCATACTGCAGGCTAACTTAGGACAGATGCTATTATGCATGGGAGGAGCCAGCAGTTTTATATCCTGGCAGGTTTGATACCAAAGGCCCTACCCACACAACTGGCCAAGGTAGCTGGAGGATCAGCAGGCCTCAGGCAACACAACCAACCATGTTCCAGAGGATATTTTATTCTGCACCTTGCCTGGTGAGCTGATCTGAGCCATCAAACCCAGGAGCCAAAACGCTCTCATGTGCCGTATCATACTCTACAGTCCTCTGCAACCGCAAGGGCTGGGCTATGCTGTCAGAAGCCTACCAAGCAAAACGCCAAAAGATGCCAAAGGTGCGAAACAGAGGAGTTGGGAGTGTTGCGTACAGAAGCGATTATAGTTTCCCACCTAGTTTTGTGGCAACTTAGCTGTCTTTTCTCATTAACACTGTATTCCTCCTCCATCCTCTTAAATGTCTCTTCTGACAAAAGGGAGAGGGATTTTTCAAGTGCCCACAAGAGGGGTCAACACAAGGTCCCCCACAGAGCCATTAGTCAGCACTGGTCTTCCCACAGACAAGCAACCCCCAAGAGCCACGGCAGACAAGAAAACAGTCTTTCTGCTCTGGTTTGTCTGTTCCTGAAAATCAATCAACTGAATTTCCATTGCAGAACAGCTATTACTGGAAATAGCATGTTTCTGGAGAACCCAAGTTATTGGCAAGTGCCTAGAAAGCTGGCTCGAACTCCAACTATAATTACTGTTCGTTTTAAAAATGTGCTCTGGCCTTACAGAGTCTCTCAGTGCTGGTTCATCACATTACCTCAGCACAGGCAACAAATTCTAACCTCTCCAGTTTCGCCAGACTTCAGGAGGGTATGTGCACACTTGCCATACAGCAAAAAAGTAGGTCTGACATTAATGAATGAAGATCTGTACCTTACACCACCTAATTCAGTTTTGGAGATTACTGAGCCTGGTAAATCAAAGAGGCAACCTTCTGTGGTGAAGGCTTTTCGTTTGTTTAGTCCTCATATCTATTTTCTTCACACCTTTAGTGGAAGAGCCAACTTCTACTGAAATCCAAGCATGACACCCTCAGGAAGTTATATCCATATCCTAAGCTAGAAGGAGCCTCTGCGACCACTTTCTCTGAATTCCTCAGACAGTCTTAGCCATATACAGGCCAAGTGGGTCAGGCCCTGGACACAGTACACTATGCACTATTCCTTACCCAAACAGATCAAAACTCACAAGTTTGAGGGAGTATCTTTGCTTTTGAGGACAGGTTCCAGATGCTGACTGCGCTGTGGAAGGATGGAACAGATGTGGTTACAGGAGCATGGAAAAGAGGTACTTGCAGTGTCAGCTGCATCATTAAATGCAGCCTGTGCAGCTGGCTTTTACTTATCCTCAGCTTCTTTCACTTGCTCTTTGCAAAAGCATCCTCTGTGACAGTGTCTTCCCAGATTACTACAAAATAATTCTTACCTTGCTCCAGAAGCACAGCACCCCTGACATGCTTCGAGTGCAGTTCTGCTTAAGTCACAGAAGCATCTAGGCATGGTTACAGTAGTGGGGTGCTTTGCAGGTGGTATGTAAAGAACAAATCATTAGTAGAATCTCAAAGGCACCCCCAGATTCATTTGCTGAGCATTCCCTCCAGCTGACTTCATAGTTTGTCAACTCTGTAAGAGATGCCAAAGTCCCTTCTGCTCTGCATGAATGTTAGAGCTATATGTGGCCTTCCTTCTCCAAAAAGATCTGCACCCATTACTTGGCCTTGAGGTAGTTCCTCTTCTCCTGCTCTCAGACTGAGTGCTATAACACAGGTTATCTGCTGCTCATCACCCAAAAGGTGTTTCTATAAAAGCACCCTCCGCTATAATAACAACATTGATTTTCTCTTTTTCTAACCTCACATCTTTTTAAAGACATATGTGGATACCCAGACTTTGTTATGCAACAGCGTAAGTAATTAAAAAGAAACTAAAGCCAAATATCAGGCAAAGCTTACTAATGGAGAAAATTCCTCCTGAACAGTTTCCAAGTTCACAACAGGGAATAAGTTCGAAACCCTTCCTTTGGAAGTTTACAACTAGACTGGAGAGAAGAGATCAGCAGTCGCTAAACAGCTGAGAGGCAGCCCAGATGACTTAGCTACTTTCTTTTGGCCCCCAAAACAGGCCAAGAATCCAGAATTGACATTTAGCCGATACTGACACCACCTACAACACAGGAACTCCTGCACGGTGCCGGCAGCGTTTAGGTTTTGAAACCAAAAACCAGAAGGAGGAAGCATGGCTCCCAACGATTCGCATTTCTTCAAGTAATGGAGCAGCCCAGCCGCCGCTCGATCTTACACCAGCGCTGACGTCCGCCTTGGCAGGGTGGGCAACGGGCGGATGGCCAGCATGGGAACGCCAGACCCCGCGGGCCAGCCGGTCGCCGCCATCCCGGAGGACACGGGCAGACTGTCCTCACCTCCGCACCGCGCCGTCTGTTCGCCGTGTGTTCTGGCGGTTTAGCGACGGCCCGACCGCCCCACCGAACACCGACAGCGGCTGCGGGCCCCTGCGAGCTGTCCAGCCCAACGGCCAGGGCCACGCAGCGCCCGCAGCAGGGCCTGGCCCCGGCCCCGGCCGGCCCCTCTCCTCCCCCCAACTCCCGGGAAGGCCGGGCCCGCTCCCGGGACGCCCCCC